CCTTCTCTCCTCCAGGCTGAACAGGCCCAGCTCTCGCAGCTTCTCCTCAGATCGGAGGTGCTCCAGACCCTTCATCATCTTCGTGCCCCTTCGCCGGACTTGCTCCAGGAGCTCCACGTCTCTCTTGTACCGGGGAGCCCAGAACTGGGCCCAGCATTCCAGGTGTGGCCTCAGCAGGGCTGAGCAGAGGGGCAGGATCACCTCCCTCCACCTGCTGGCAATGCCCTTCCTAATCCAGCCGGGCATACCACTAGCCGCCTTTGCCACAAGGGCACGCTGCTGGCTCATGCCCAGCTTGCTGTCCACCAGGACCCCCAGGTCCTTTTCTGCCAAGCTGCTTCCCAGCCAGTCAGCCCCCAGCCTTTACTGGTGCATGGATTGCAGCATGCAGACTCAGAGCTAGCACAGTGGGCACGTGGGGTCCCACGTGCTTATTACTGAAAGGGAAGCTGCAGGATCCCAATCTACATAGGTAGCAAGTACAGTTCACTCCTGAAGGTGTGTGGCACCTAATCACTACTGAGGGACTTGATGTCAAACAGCTGTCAAACTATTAAATAGGCCCCTGCTTCTCGAGGTGTGGGAATTGCAGGTGTGTGGCCAAGAACTAGACAAAGCAGAGCAAGTCAACAGCAGTTCACTGCTTCCAGGGTGGGGCAGACAGCAGAGACACTGCTTGCCAACTGTGAAAATTTAAGCTAGTCAAGAAGCAAGTCACCGACTGCAACTGCTGGCAGCAGCTCAGTCCTTAAACAGCAAGTTGGCGCTTGCCAATAACCCTCTGCTCTACCTTCATCACTCCATAAAAACAGCTGCTACTATGTACTAAGGTAGCTCTGGGTCAGCAGGCCATATGGCACTTTCCAGCTCTCTGAGGAGCACATGGGTAGCTTGTCATTCTGGCCAGGTAGCCAATATCCTCCTTTTGCCTACTATCATATGGAAGCCTATGCCAGAAAAGCGCATGCTGCATTCTGCAGTGTCAGCCATGAACAGCACTGCTGAGAAGGCTGAGCCTGAGACCCCATGAGCTATCCTGCCTGTATGTGCCCTTGGCAGAGGGAGCAGTCAGGAATCACCCACTCAGCTCCCACACCTTTGCCAGTGTTGGTAGTAAGAGCTAGAGTTGCATCCCAAATCTGTTACAGTTCTTGAGCAACAAATAAGTAAGTGCACAACAGAGCCACTGGATCTAAAACAGAATACAACATAGGTTTTCCTCCCTTATTTTCATAGAGGCACTTTTGAGGACTGCTCTTTGCAAAAGAACAAGATGAGCAGGGCAAAATATCTTCTCTACCAGAGTCAGCTGCCATTCTCAGGATGCTGAGTTCAGTAAAGTTCCAGACTAAACAAGGTATAGGGAACAACGGGAAGAAACCAGCTGTTCCCTATCTCCTGCCACAAAAGCTGCATTTTGTTGCTTGAGCCAAAAGACAACGGACAACATCCCTTTTCTGGAAGGACAGGGAGAGCAGTATGATGATATTTCCACTACCTCTTGTTCAATGCTGAAACATTTCCAAATTATGCGCATGATGACAGTCCTGAGGATAATGATTATTTTAATTACTCCTTTACGGAAGTTTTAACAAAGTCTTTGACTACGTGTGTTTTGGCTTCATCTAGTTCACCTTTAGCAGAAACATAAGGAGTAGCACAAAGTTCTCCTTCTGTGACCAATTTAGGCTTAACATTTGTGAGCACTGAGGATTCTGAACCCTCCCAAGGAAAACTGCCCACCTACTACTGTAATCATAAACAGGAATGTTTTCAGCATAATTTTGCCTGACTTAAATTCATCTGCTTTTTTTCTAGCTGTAGCTTCATATCCATCAAAAAAATATATGCGTAGTAAGAATTTACACAATTCAAAACAGCTTAAGATGTTTTATCACGCATTGTGCTCCCCACATAACCTTTGAATATAATTATTTGGAATTCCATGAGCCTTACGTATTATTAAGAATAGCTACTGAAATTGTGTTTTTTGTTTGCATTATTCACATTACTAAAATGTCTTTTAAAAGTACAGGAGACATTACCAGTTACCTCTATTTGAAAGCCTTCCATTCCAGAAAGCTTGAGAATGCTGCAGGATATGACTCGTTTCTACATAACTCTCAGAGACTTTTACTGTATGAAGAGTAAAATTACAGGGCTTACTTGGGATATAATTCGCACTGCCTCTGGAAATAGTGCCACAATTGTCAATTATAATAAGATCTTTCTCCTGCTTTTTTTGCTAGTTACTTTCTGATGTGTGGAGAAACAATCCCAATGCTATCGTTCTCATCAGCAAGAGAATTTATTGGAGAACCACTAGGCCTCTTTTGCCTCAGGATGTCTGCTGCTAGACTATTATTTTTGCAATTTTAGACAGTGTCTGTGGCTAGCAAACTGAAGAAATGCAAAAGGCAAATCCCACTGAAAAGCATAGGAGAAACTGCTGCTACTTACCAAACTATTCCCTGAGCCCCAGAGCCAATAGGTTTCAAGTTCTGGTAGCGTTTGAGAACCGTGAAGGTCGAGTCACCTACTTCCACACTGTAGAACTGGTTGTCAACTTTGCTTTTGCTCATGTTGTAATGTTTGGCAATATATGACACATCCACTTGTTTCCCAAATCCCTGTTGTAGAGAAAAAGGGAAGAGGGAAGGGGAAAAAAACCACAGAAACCAAGGTTGGTAAAACATCACAATATTAACTAAACACAGAGAGCCTAGTTTTCAAATA